ATATGGATTGTCTTGCAGTGTAGTATTTTTCTTTTTCTTTTTTTTTTGTGACACTCTGTGAGTCATTCTATGAGACACAAGATACTTATAATGAAAATAAAACAAATTTATTGCAATGAAAGCAATGATAATAATATGATTGCTTAACTTTCCTTCAACATTAACAATGCAGTAAAATATCAACTACCAACAAATGACACATGAGGGAAAAAATGTGTAACTTAATAATGTAAAAAAAAATTGATTTTCATGAAGTTAATTAATAATCTTGCATTTTGAACTGAATTATGAAAAAAAAAATTGGCCCAAATCAATTTGATTATTCGTGTATATGCAGCATATTAGTTTGTAAAGTTTATCCTTCATTGTTGTGTCTATTTCATAACAATTTAGTTAAACAGTTTCTAAATGGATGCATGATGAAGTTCAATTTACAATTAACATGCACCAATGCATTGTACTTTATTTTATATTTCAAATGCATTAAATGTACTTTAATTATTTTATATTTCAATAAGAGAAATATTCTAATTAAATTCAGTGCAATTTTTTTTTTAGCACATGCATGCTTATGCATGACTGCGTAAAGGGAAACAACTCTTGACTTTAAAATGGGATATTTTGCAATGTATTGATAAGCACCTTATGTTTTTTACATAACCTAAAGCATCACCATTGTCATATTGTTTTGACTATCAATGTGTATGGGCATTTTTTAAAGTTAAATTGTCATCCAAACAAAACAATAATAATTATATGAAAGATGTTCAAATAAAAAAATTACAAGATAAATGATAACAATTAATAGCAAATTAAAGCTTATTCAATATTCCTATTTGTTTCTGACATATGTACAGTATATGGAATTGTACTCAGTGATAATAACTTGTATATTTTTTCTTAAAATAACAACTTTTAGAAAATATACCACTAAAGATTTAACAATTTCAAAGAACAGAAAATGATGGGAATTAATTATACTGTATTTATAAACATGTACAACATCTGTTAAATTGAAAAAAACAAACTGGAAAATTGTGAATTTTATTATACATATATCATGTTAGTTGATTGTCAGTGATATCAATGCTCAATGAAGGATTTTAGAAAACACTGAATATGTCTTATTGCTTTTTTTAAACTTTGATACTTGAATCAAAAGCTGAATTGATATAACATATGGCTTATTGTATAAGACTCAGTTTTTCTTTCCATTTGATAGAAGCAAATTTTAAAGAAAATTGTCAAGAAAAACAAAAACATATACATCATAGATACTAAAATGTAATTTGAACAAAAAGAGTGGACTGAATCAACAACAAGAATTACCAATATTTCAAAGCAGTAAATGATGGATTTAGTATGTATACAATTTGTCTGTAAATCCAAAAAAGTACAAATATAGTATTTATAGTATTGCAACATCAGAGAGAGAAGAAATGCATATAATAAAGATGAATGGTAAAGAACTAAAGATACATGCAGTTCTCTACTTTTAACTTTTTAGAAATTTTTACTGCAGGTGGTAAGGCATAAATATTTGAAAAATGCCATGAAAAGTTTAAATGTATGCAAGTATACAGTCACTATCATTCATAAATTAGGAACCTCTATAAACTGCATACTAATGAGGTCTGATTCTATGGTATACTTTTATTCTTACAATCACACTGAATTATGAAATTGATACAGCGTGCAAGCAGTGTAGAGTTAAAATACATTAGGTATTGATAAATTTTGTAACAAAAACTACAACTAGAATAATGACATGATCATTATTGATGCAGAAGATACTCTTTTATACATATCCACAAGAAAACCCTTTTTTTACCAGTACTAGTGATTATACTGCAGTTGTTATAACAGTAGTACAGTAATACAATGCCACTTGTCAAAAATTTTATCAATATATTGATTGCTATTAATGTGTTAAACAAATTTAATAATGCAAAGTCATAGATCCTAAATTCTACAAAGAAGAATAAAACATTCAGTGAATTATTATAGCAAATGCACATACTTATGAGAAACCAATTATAGCATGTACGTAGATACAAAATATCATAATGATGTCATAATGTTTGGAAATACACATACAGTATGAGAATAATTGGATGGATGTTATCAATGTGTAAAGAATACATTTTACATACTTAATAAATTTAATTTGACCACAGAGACACTTAATTATCAGCCAGAGGACAGGAAAGAAGAAGGCAAAATAAAAGTTAAAAGTTTACAGACAGATATAGACAGACTGACGCCAGACAAATTGTGATCAGAAAAGCTCATAAGAATTAACTATGATGTTATACGTCACAACAAATGTATCAACACCCAAGCATTACTGCTCCCATTACAGTAATACAAATAGCTAAAGGCATGCATTGCAGCTTTGTAATACATGGATGTTGATACATCTGTTGTGATGTCAGGCACATCGCACATGCAAAAACCAGTGTATTTGTTAGTACGTATTCAAAAAAATTTACATTTCATTCATAAGGTGTTCGAAATTGAAAAAGGGATCTTTCTGTTTAATTTTTAACATTACATGCTGTTTCTGAAGATGGACAAGCTGTTGTTGTTCTTTTATAAGCTTTCTTCTTTCTTTGATGTTGATTAGTTCTTCTTGAAGAAGCATTTCTGGTGTAACTTTCAAATGAAGCTCTGTTGATGAAGTGGTAGATGTGGAGGGCAGAGGCTGTGTTTGTGGTAACAAATGCTCAAGCTGAGTGGTCTCACTAGTCAAATCAAATTCATGCAAGGCATGGTTGTCATCCAAGAAATCCACAACTGATTCTGCAAGAATGATTTTTTTTTTTAATTTAACTTGTTGTGTCATAATGCCCCTGCAGTGGGGCATAAATATTTTTACATAATTTTTTGAATATACATTCAAATTCATATCTCAGATTTTTGATAATTGATTGATCTGATTTTTTTTCATTCATATTTTTTTTTTATTGATGACTCTATCAACAAAAATTATCCCTGTAAAATTCATCTTTTTTTTAATACTTTAATAGTTCACCATACACTAAATGAAATTAATCATTAATGTTATTGTGCATTAAAAGCTTATTCATTTATTATTATTATTCATTACCAGCTGCAGTGTCTATTCCAGTCGGAAGGCCACATAGACTTGGTCTGCCTTCCAAGTTGTCCAACAACAACTGTTCACTAACATTCGGAGATGATGGTTTTTTCCCTCCCCCAGTCTTAGGGTTCAAAATCACACTTCTCTTTTCTTTTGCTACAATAGAGATATTAAATTAAATGGTGACAATCCATACATGCCAACTTTTGAAAATTCCCATGGGGGATTTTGCGCATGACGACAATTTTCAAAGTTTTAAATTCAAGACAATTTGTAGTGAAAATAAATGTTGATCCCATTTTTAAAATTTATAGTATTGACATCATTTATTAATACAGCGTTGAAGATAAATAACACAAACAAAATTTTTCCTTCCAAAATTCAAATACATGTATCTTAATTTGCTTAAATAGGTTGCCTCTATCACTAAAGAAGTGATATCTATTTAGATAAACAACATTATGTTTGACCAAGACACATACTTTGATGAAAAATGGGAAAATGTACAACTTTCAGTTCAATAAATTTTTTTTGTAATGTTTTAGAAATATATGAGGTTTTGTTAATTTAAAGTTTCTGGGAAACATTTTTAAGATTCTATGTTAACATTTTACACAATTAGAATTTCCTTATCAGACATTAAATTGAAAGAAATATTGAAAAATTCCCATGCTTTTATTTTCTTTAATTTGTTTATTTATTATTTTTATTTTATTATAATATATTCTTTTTCTTTTTCTTTTTTTTTTTTTGGTGTGGGGGATAAGAAAATTTGTTTAATCTTAAAATCCCTTGGGCATGCACTGTTATATAATCAATATTTTATTTTAATTATTACTCATAAACCTAAATATCTTAACAAAGTACATCTAATATTTTTTTTATGTATTTATAGATTATCAGAAGAGCATCATACCTTTCTGTTTGATGTTCTGGTATTTCTTCTTTATTTCATTCACATCTCTGCATGAACTAAATGTACTTCCACTATGAAAAAAAATGAATCTATTTAACAAACTATATATATAGAAATTTAATGTTTCTTACATTGTGGTTAATTTTTAATATTTTATTTTCCATAATAAAGAATACATACATGCTTTGCAATATCTATTTATAGCTTTCGGGTTTCCCCTTTTGTGTATTTTGCTTTTCTACTAAATTGCATACAGTATTTTAAAATCTTGAGACTATTGTATCTTGTATATGCATGAGTTATCTGCTTAAAATCAGCTGTTGTAATGCACAGTCCGAGTTTTTAAGTTCGTTAGTGGTTGTGCTGTCGTATAACAGCTTGGCCTACATGTATATATCAGTATATAGCTGCATTACTGATAGTATGAACACCGTTGAAACTGCCACAGTCTAGTAGATTTTTAAGACATCATTGGTTTTCTTTTCAATTAGTTTTCATCAAAGTTTTATTTTGTGGCAATGTATAATGATTTGGGGAAAATGTGATATGTCAACACTTACGCATTGACTAGGTCAGTGACCTCTTTCCAGGCCTTTGTCTTATCAACAGAAGTCCTCCCTGACCCGTCTAATTTTCTGAAGAGTACCTTCTCCCTCTTCTGTACCTCCTCCACTAATGTAATCTCGTCCCTGGGGTCCCAGTTACTTTTTCTTGATCGTTTTTTGGGAGTTTCTGCATCCATTGCGTAACTAATGTAAGCAGACGAAAATTGTATCTCCAAAACATTGGAGAGTTCCACATTTACCGTATACGCTCTAAACACCGCGTGGGTTACTATGACAATAAAGGGTTTTTTAACTAAGACAAATCTTAACTAAGTTTTTGCTAAGATCGTTTTGTGATCCACTTAAGTAAGCGATCTTAGCTAAGTCTAAATCTTAAATTTAAGTCAAAAGTCTGACTTAAATTTAAGACAGTTTCATGATCCCGGAGCCTGGTTTGATTTCCTTAAAAGACAATAATGGCCTGGAATTCGTGACTGAGTCTCAGGATCCACTGGAACCTACCAGTGCCAAAACTGACAGCTCAAGGAAGACCAAGTCATGGAAGGTAAGGGGCAGAGTCAGGGGTGTGGCTTCTGTCAATCATTAGGACCTATGGTTTTTTGCCACCTCCATATACGTTATACTTCATAGAAATATAGAAATTTTTCATTTACCAGTATTTCTTAGGAAAAAGCAACTATCATAATGTAAATTTCAAATTTATTCTTTTAGTTGATTTCTATAACTTTCATTGAGAAAAAAGTTCTATATAACGATAAATATTATGATTAGATTGTAGAATTTAATAAAATTTTCATTATTTTTTCACATAATATTTGAATGAATATGATGACATAATAAATATACCGAGGAAGTTCAAAGAAAGAAGTTTGAAAGAAAGTGGAGAAAAAAAGATACGTGCAGATAGATCCCATGTATTTGACATAGGCATTAATTAGATTTCCATTTTTTTTTTTTTTTTTTTTTTTTTTTTTTTTTTTTTGTATCACAAGACAGTGTGATAAAGATTTCAGACAGATTAATTGACATTACAGGGGTCCCCTGTGTCTACACCAGAGATGGTAAAGCAGTCAAATAAATGCTTTAGATTTTTGTCAGGAGCTTATAATTAACGGACTTCGTTAACATTTTGTTTTCTGGGCTTGTAGAGAAAAAATTGTCTTTAATTGTTTAAAGTTTTTACAAAAATTAATTGTTTATTTCAGTTCTGTGTCCATAATTTCATTTAGAAAAAAAAAAAAAAAAAAAAAAAAAAAAAAAAAAAAAAAAAACAAGAAAGATTTATTTCTTTTATATATTTTCATGCAAAAATGAGTGCATGCAAAATTTTAAAATTCATCATATTTTTTTTTTTCATTTTATTTCAATTTTCATTTACTTCTCTTTGTTAAAACATCAGATTCAGTTTCATTTTATTTCATATTTCATTTTTAAAAAAATAAAACTAAAGCAATCAAAATTTTCTTTTCATTACATCATTGCATGACTTGTGTTGTGCATGAAGGAAAACTCTACATGTGAAAGTAAATAACAAGTATTATGTGTGGTATGATTTCAAGTTGTACGGAGTGAAAATTTTAATGCATTTATACATGTATCAAAAACAGTTAAACTCTGGTATCAGTACTTTGAAAATGGATATTTATACATGTATCAGAAAGAATAAAACAAGATAATGTGTGAACTTCTGGATCTCTAGCATTTACCTCCTCTTATTAACAATTCTCAGAAAATCTCTAGCCTAAACTCTCAAGAAGTAGAACTGCTATTTGGTGCAGGGAAAATCTTTTAAACTGAATAGTTAGGACTCTACTCAAGATGTGTGATCATTTCTGCTCAATATCTGTATACCAGTAACAAGAAAGCAATCAGAAGTACTGGTTGTCTGTTGAAATTGTATCTGTCAGGACATAGGATTTCTCTGAATTTTTACTGCTTTAACCCCTTAAAATCAATTTGATCAACTTGTTATGTGGAAAATGTAATTATTGCTCCAGTGAATACTGACTAAAAAATTCTCAAAGACTTGTAATACAACTTTAGTTAGTCTTTTTTTTCAGCCTTTTTTCCCCTCAGTATTATATTATATTTAACATATACTTAATATGTTTAAGCTACTGTAATGATCTGTATCATTATAAGATGGCTACTGACTGATTTTGTTAATAGAGTAAAAAGGATCGTCTGAGCAGCAGGACAAAGTCCAGTAAGAGTGATGAAGTGGGTGACCAAGAGAAGGAGCGCCGTGCGGCATGGCTGGCCATCAGGTGTGCCGCAGTGGTGGCAGAGGCTCAGAGAGCTCGTATGTTACTGATCGGGGATGTTAGCGTTACGTCACAAAAACTCCCGGAAGCTGCTCAGGAGAACATCCCAGACTTTGTAGCTTTGGATCTTGTCAGTGCTTATGTGTTAGGAGAGAAGAAGAAAGTGTATAAAAGTAAGACTGAAGGGTTCTATACTTTTATTGGGGGGGGGGGGTCATGAATTGGATAAAAATATGAAATTCCATCTTTACTCAGCTCATTATTTCTTTGTAGAGCTGCAATATACTTTATAATTTTCTCTCCAGTTTGTCAAATCTTTAGATTTACTCTTTGTACTTCATAATAGTGAGATCTCTCTCACTGAAATCTGAAAAGTCAATCTTTATCATGAATTTACACCTTAAATAATTTTTAATTGTCATAGAGTTCAACACAGTATTTCAAGATAATTACAAATATCTTTTCTTTGTTTTAAAGAGGAATATCATAATTGCAATAGATATTTTTTTATGAAAATCAAATTGAATCCTGTTGTTTTTCTATAATTGCAGATGAAATAGAGGAGGAGTTGGCTCCCTTGATCGAGGCACAGGAAGTGAAGAAGGTGGAGACTTATGAAGAACAAGTGAACCGAGCAAAAGATGGAGCTAAAGACCTCGGATGGATTCACTTCTTAGGTATCCTAATCTTAATGAGCTTAATACAGAGAAAGACTTTTAGAGTATATCCAGTGAGGGAACTTCCATACTTGAATGGATTACTTTTATCTGTAACCTAAGTAAAATAGGAAAGATGATGTGAAGGATTTATTTCAAAAATATTTGAACAAAAATGCACATACTGTCACATCTTTTCCTATTCGTGTAGGATATTTTTTTAAGATATAGGCAATACATTTTTTGTAATGCAGCTTGCCACTCTGCTAAGAGACAGAGTTTCTGAATGGAATGTAATTTTTGTTTGCTAGGTTACCAGACAGTATTACAGAGACTTTGTAGTACCTCCACAATCTCTGCCTCCAGTGTCAAATCTGACAATTCCCCACAAGATGATAGCGACCCAGGTGACCTTGGACCAGACTTTGACCTTGGGTTCATAAGTCACGCCCAGTGTGACACAACCATGAACCATGATGTGGTGCGTTCTATGTTGTTTGGTGGTATCTGGTCCCGGCGATCTGCTAAGCTTCATACCTACCTGTCCTCAAATCTACAGGTGTACAGTGAAAAATGTTGTGCTGTGTATCCCCCCGCAAATCTCAGTCTGCCCACTGTAGCTGCTGTCAGGTGAGGATAAATTTGGTAAACAACAGTTACTGTGAATCAACTGCAAAACTGTATAAATAAACGTTTTCATTAATGAATGTGCATGTCTGTGATCTTAAAAGCACTAACTCCAATGCTTGAATTATGATCAAGGCATTTTTTGTCATGATGGTTTATTTCATTATTATACATGTAGTATACTTGATAGCACATATAGGTAAAATTTGAGAATTTGTTTCAAGTTTTGCAATGAAGTGTACTAAAGTGGTTATCAAGATTAATATGAGAATAAGTAATAGGTGATGTGATGTTATAAACTTTAATCATGTTGAAGGTTGGATGCCAATGTTTTGTACAAGTCCTACATCCAGAACTTGACTGTGCCTACAGACCAAGAGGAGAATGTCCAGACTGCTGGACAAGGAGTCACTGGGAAGGCCCCACCCCCTCCAGGCTCTAATCTTAACCAGTACCAACCCCCGGACAAAGCTGTCACCACCCCCACTGAGACTGAGGCGGCTGTACAGGTCAGTGTACTGCATTAAAATAGGTACCTATTGGTGTCACCTAGAATAAAAGAACTAAAAAATGGTACAAGAGTTATACCAGTAAATAGGGGATTTAGATTCATTTTTACATCCTCTCCACATAGAGAATAAATTCAGAAGAAAAATTTTTAAAAATTAGTTTTGTCAGCCTCCTAAGAATAGAATTTTGACATTGTGTGTATTTATTTGGTTGGTCTGTTTTAACAGTTTTATCAGCCCTCATTGGAAGAGAATGATCCCCAGAGACCTGAAGCTGTGGGTCCAGACTCCAGAATCCTCCTACTATTTGCCATGTCCAACAAGAAGGTCAACCAACCAGGTGTCCAGTGGGTGACCTTGTCCCAGCTGAATGACCTTCATGACAGGTATGGTTCAACACTGACATATGACAAATAAAAATAGTAATGGAAAAAAATATGCTTATTTTTTTTTAACTTTTTAGCATAAAAATAACTTTTCAGCGTAATAATTAATGGACAATTAAAAGAATGTATATACTTTGTTTTAAGAAAGATTCCAGTTTAGAAGACCTTTGAAAACACCTAGTAGAGCAGCCATCACATTAAGATCTATCTATACTTATAAATTAATAAATTTTGCAAATAAACTCCGAAACGGGTGCACCAGAGTTCTTACTTACTCCTCTAAGAATACACACGATACAAGATGATGTCCGTAAACTATATTTAGATTTCACTTGCATTGTTAGTATCGTACATTAAATTAAAAGTCTACTTTTATTTTCTATAAACAGCCATGAAATAGCAAAAACATGAGTACGGTGGCGTTTCCGGTTGGCGGATCAAAGTTACTGTCAATTTTTAATGAAACTGACAACAAGCAATCGTTTATTTATTTCCTTGAACGTCATTACTGAATTATTCAATCAAAACTTGATTTAAATGATATAAAAGAAATAAGTTGTGATAACTGATTAAAAAGGGAAATGTGCAAGTTATTTTCGTCATTCACCGATCGTAATATTGACGGAAGCTTCTAGAACATCATATAGCATCGAGCCCGATGTTAAAAAGAAAAAAAAATAGCTTTTGTGTGAATGGTCATTGAAATAATGGTAAATCATTGATAACACTGTAAGTTGTGAATATATTTATATATCGAAAGACTATTACGTATATGTAAAATTTGTATATATTCCTCACTGAAAGCATCGTGGCAACGGTAACGGGATGTTTCGCACCTAAGCATGGTTCGCGCTGCGATGTTTCGCACCAATTCCGTTTCGCGCTGAGATGGTTCTCCCCACATTGTTGTACAAATATGTGCTAGCCTACTGAAGTTCGTTTAACAAAATTTAAGATTTTAAACATGTTATATGGTGTAAATTTTGATATTTTTTGAAACATTTTTTTTAATTCAAGAAGATTATATTTGTAGCAGAGACATAATTATTTATGTCTGTGTTTGAAGTATACATAGTATAATAGTATGTATAATTATGTATTATTTTAACACCATGCTAATTATAATACCGCCATCTAATTAAGTAATTATTGCTGGTTTGACTACCAACACGTCCATTAATAAATTCTCACCTTTCGATCTACAACTAATTACAATTAAATCTTCATGGAATATTTGATGAACACGATCCGTAATCTTTGGCAGTGCATACATGTATTATTAAGTCATGCATTTGAACACACAACATCTATATATGTATATCTTATAATTGATAAACAATTTTTTAAAATGGATAAAAATGTCATTGAATATTTAAAATAAATCGTGAGATGTTTCGCACCTAAATCGGCGCGAATCATCTAGGCGCGAACCATCTCAGTGCGAAACAGAATCGGCGCGAAACATCCCGGATTCGTGGCAACGAACCCGAAGTACAATTTGTACTTCGTAATAAACTTGCTTACATGAAAAGAGAATATCAATGAATAAGGCATTATTCAAGTACAATTATGTTGTATAATTTTGTGCTTTAATTTATACATTTCAGTTTTTTTCTGAATACAGTCTTTTGTATCAAATACTCGGCCTATTCCAGTGGCGGATCCAGGAATCTTGAAAAAGGGGGGCAACCAGTTTGGGGTTGGGGTAGGGGCCCACGGACACACCCAAAAAAATGATTTATTAAATTTTATGTATATTTTGGACACAAAACGGGAGGGGGGTTGGGCCTCCCTCTAAATCCGCCAGTGTATTCATAGGGTGTTAAATAAAAGCTAATTTTTACACAGGTACTTTTAGGTCTTGGATTATAAATATGTATACATGTACCTTATTGATATGTAAAAAAAAAAAAAAAAAAAGAGGCATAAGGTACAGTTTTTACATATCAATAAGGTACATACATATTTATAAACCAAGACCCAAGTACCTGTGAATTTTTACAAAAAAAAAATCTATTTCTCAGTAAAATGAGCATATTCACTGCTTTTATTCGTGACGGAAATGAAATAAGAGCATTTGAAGTACATTATCCATAACATAGTACATTGTATATAACAGGTTTCACAATAAACGTCAATTAATGATTTTGTTATTTAAGTTTTAGGGGGTGGGGGGGTGGAGACGTACTAGCTTCTACTTCATGCGGGATTTTGAACAAAGTATTTCTTCCTGCTATAAGCCTGTAGGCTGTCAGTAGAAACTACAATATATATATTAATAGATTTTTTTCTGTCGGTAGTGGTATAAATTCAATTCCCCGCGCTTGCGCGGGATTTCATCTAGTTGAGAAAAAAACAACAGATTTTTTCACTTTAACATGGCGGCATTGCACAAAGCTGCTGCTTAAAACATGTTTTCCATTTTACTTCTGATGCATTTTTAGTAATGCTAGTTTTTTCATTGTCAGATTGGCACTGCTTGCCCAGAGAGGAGAGATTTCACTGCAGGAAAAAGAGAAGAAATCCAAGGATCCTATTACTCCGTCCCCTACCCCCACTGCCAAGGCCAAGAAGACCCAGAGGATCAAAGCTCTGTCCCCTAAAGTTCAGAGAGATGAACAGCTAGAGGTATAAAAATTTGACTATACAGGAAGTATGAAGTACTCTGTAGAATTTTTAATTTTTTCACTAAATTTTAAAAAAGGAAGTTTAGTTATACTTAAAAGCATTGAAAAAAATTCTGAATTTTGAATGCCTTTCAAGCTTCAAAAAAAATAGAACAAGTGAAAATTATTCATTAAGAATTTAGGATAAAGCTAATTAAATGAAACTTCCTTTGCATACAAAATCATTTTAATGATTTTACAAAGTAAAGCAATACACTCTGTGTATCATACTGAATAAGTATTTTTCTCTTTCTTTTTTTTTTATTATCAGTAATCAATTAAAAATTTACACTAAGACAGTTGTTATATATTCCAATCTTCTCTCTGTAGAGTTTATTGAAGCAGTGTGTTGATGATGTGACCACCATACTGGGTGTCCTGACTGACCAGGCAGAAACAGCCAGTACTGCTGGAGACGTAAGTCACTTACCTCTAAATCACACGTACAAGTATAATGTCTTATACCTTACACAAAATTGTGAAAGTCATGACTTTGTTAGTAAACATTTTAACACTTGATAATTAGCAGGAAGTTTAAGGAGGCTAGGGGGTCAATAAATTTACCATCAGATATAACTTAATTTTTTAGATATGATATCTTTAGCTGTCAGCTATCATTTGGCAAACAAAAATTTCATACCTTTTAGTTTTAAAATGTGATCATTTTTGTATATCTTTATATGGAGCTTTTCTTCTAAAGGAGATCAATATAGTCTGAAAATGGCCACAACCACCCAGCCCTCTTAAGCCTACATCTAATATGTATAATTTTAAATTGGGAGCTATGGTTGGACTAAAAGTTTCTGGATTACAAAGTAGTTATTGATATTTATATATTATATGTACCCTGATGTGTATACTTTTTTCTTAATCTCATGATTCAGTGGATAAGGCTTTGATTCTATATTACATACAATATCCATAAATGAAGGTTTGTGTCGATTGTAGATTCCATTTGAGGTGAGCCGACAGAACATCAGGAATCTGGAGGGTCTGTTTGATCCAGGATTCGGTTTTATTCTCCGTGGATCAGATATGGCTACCTGGCTTGTTAAACTATTGACCCAGCAGTAGGAACTAGACAGTGTTTGTTTTTTGATAGTTTGTATTGTGCTTAGGAAAATTTATAATTGTGTCATGGACTGTGTAATGAGATGAAAATTTATATTATTTTAATTTACATGTTGAATTTTAAAATAATTGCAAAGATAGATAAGATTCTTAATTTTAATTTATGGTTTATTTTCAAGAAAACTACTGATTAAACTACATATACATGTAGTTTTGAAAGTTTTGATCTTATGTACGGTAGTTAGTAAATACATGTAATATCAACTTCTTGGTTTACATGAATTATTTGACATTTGCATCAATTTTATGGTTGTTAATTTTGAAATTTGTAGCACTTAATAGACCTTTCCGTCCATTTGTTATTTAGTTTAAAAAAAAAAAAAATTATATAATTATTTTGATGAAGTTATGCTCACTGTGATAAAATTTTCTGCATTTCTTTGTGGAATTGCTTTTTGCAGTTGTCACTAGAAATATCTTTAATAATGATTGTATATTGAACTTTATTTATATGTATTGACTTTCAGAGACTACTTATAAATTCTTTTGAGACATTAAATTTGAATGACATTTTAATTTGTGTTTCCAATGTTTCATGCTTGTATTGGTTTAAAAATAAGTAAAAGAGGAAGCAACAGACTTATAATTTCAGTTGAGCACAGAGTTTAAACTTGAGAGCATAACTCTTGTCAAAGCCATAATCCACAACTGGATCAGAGTTTCTGCCCCCTGTTGACAGGTGATTTGTGTTATTGTGCTGTTAGATATCTTGGTCTCCTTTAGTGCCACATGGCAAAGCTAACAGTTTGACATACAATAAGGACTGATGGAGGTCTAATCTGATGATCAATCTGTTAAAAACTCTGGCGCCCGTTTTACAAAAGAACTTACGACTAAGATCAAAATTTAATTCTGCTCATAACTTTCTAATTTACACTAAATTTAAAATGGTTTTAATCTTTTTAAAAGGAATGTTGAAAGATATTTTTACGCTAGCAAATTTGAACAGAATCATTAATTTTGCAAAATTTTACAATGAACTAAAGTTTTTGGTCTTAGTCGTAACTTCTTTTGTAAAACAGGGCCCTGGTTTTTTACTTGTACAGGTTGTTTGTGAATGAGGACTAAAGGTGCTGTCTTTGTTATGATTACAAATAGTGATTTCTAGGTCCATGGACAACCAGTGATCTACAGAATTGGCTTTGTATATTTTTTTTAACTTAAATTTATACCAAGACACAATCATTCAAACTTTAGAGCTTATTACGAAAGAAGTGGAATTTATGACCAAATCTTATTTACGAAATGCCAACTATAAACGAGGTTGTTTAAATACCTGTAACATCAACTTATCTGTCAGTAGCCTGCCTCAGTTTAAAAATTGATCGTACCCGGAGCAAGCTGTATTTGCAAGTATCGAATAAATTGGGAGATGTAAACACCATTTACAGGCAATAGTGGGATATTACTATATAAATAAGGGATGTTGACGAAGGAAAAGCTGAAGTTGTCTTGTTTGTCACACAGTTTAGTCGTTAGTTTGCCTTTGTCGACTATAATCAGTATAGCATCCAAATACGAAATAGATGTGGCATGTTGTGTCTTTTTTCTCGAGTTCACTTGGATATATGGAATCAATATACTTAAATTTTTAATTGTCAACAGACACACGTCAAGCCTTGTGTCTATTGACAATTAAACGGATTAAAGGATTTTAAGCATATAAAATCAAAACTGCCATAGCAATCCAGTGTTTTAAGCGATTCAAAATCCTTTCCATATATATATATATATATATATATATATATATATATAATCCGGACTTCTTGGTTAGGGAACCCAGTTAAGCATTTATATATCGGTCTGGGACCCCGATGGATTAAGCAGACTTTTTCCGGTCTCCCTAATATTTTAACTGATCATTAAGGCAGTGTACTTTGTGGTAAGATGACTGATGTCCTGAAATAAGACTCTTTCGTAATTATTTTTTTCAATGCAATTATAATTTCTGCATTTTTTATTCGCATAGCGAGAAATAATTAAATTATTTATAACCCGGCATATATTTTCATAGGAATATATATATCTATTAAGTCGCCCAGAGAAAATGTGTAATATTAATCAAAATCCGCTATATATGAATAGTTTTAATTAATATCCCATTTAGTTTAATCATTTCCTATATTTTCTTACCCTTCATTCATTCGTGAGTTCAGTATTTAAAATTTCGAAAATTCATGGTCTACAAATGACTCATGTTTGTCTGGCAATAAGTTGCCTGGTTTCCGGTCGACCTGGAGAACCAGAAAAGACGCCTCGAAGTGCTTTGGATCCTTTTTCGTAAGTATAAATCTGTTACTTACTATCATTTGCAGCTTTTTTTTATGTTTTATACGTCTTTTGTATATTATTTTCCCCTTTTTTATACGACGCGCTTGCATAGCGTCAATATTGACTAACAGCGAACGTCGAGGAAATTCTGAATACACATTTTTAATTTCTTTTCATTCATAATGATACATCTTTTTAAAAATCATCAAATATTTATTTTAATTAATTATTAAGTTTGTGGATGCTCATGGTTTGACGTTCGAAACATGGATATGATTGACGCATTATTTATAGAAGCTGATAGTAAGCGGGGGGGGGGGGGGGTTTCTTGTGTACGAGAATCTGAGATTTGTGTTTTGAGATACAATAACAAAAGATTCTACAAAAATTAATGCAACACAAACCACTTCATTCCTTTTATGACACTCTTTAGTTTTTGAACAATGAGTAAAATTTGGTTTAAGATTTGAACAAGACTTACAATGTCATATATTGTCAAAGACTACTTCTACAATTACATGTTCAAGAATTTAAGGTATTGCAGAGGTTTTTACTCTATTCTGCAGTTTTCAATGATGTAAACAGTTTCTGTCTATAATTTTAAATATTATAAGTAAAGATATGTTATTTTGTAGTAACAATAATTTGGCTATTAATTCATGTAATTTTCTAAGGTAGTACATTTGATAATTTTTAGGTATAAATATTATTTTTTAATATTATGTCATAATCTGTTTTATCAGCATATATCATAATTATATTAATAACAACTCAAATATGAATCTGAGTCTTCAAGGTCTTTAAGTGTATAATTCCTTTTCACTGCCTATAAAGCATTAAAATAAAATTTGTTATGTTCCCCAGAAACATAATTTTAGGAGGTAAATCTATTATTCGTATTTTAAATTTAAAATCCTGGATGAATATGAAATTTCTATTACCGTAAAAAACTGTTCTTAAAACAGTTTCTATATACCCCTTCCCCCTCATGTGTGCCAAAATTTAGTAAAGGTGAAATAATTATTTTTTTTGGTTAGATATTGCTTTTATTATACATAAAATATACATAACACAACTCACAAAACTGATTTAAAAAGGACCCAAATCCTGGGAGCTTAAAGGGGCTTTTGTCCTTTACCCACTGGGGCCACAAGGTGGCCCTCACTGGCTCAGACCCCATTATTAGCCTGTTGAACCCCCCTTTAAAAAATCCTGGGTCTACCAAAGATAATTTTGAAGTCTTTATATGAAATGATAAAATGTATTTATTAGCAAAAGAAAAAGGAAATAAAACGGGGGTAGTGTACCATAACTACCCAATTAAAAAAAAAAATCAATAAAATTCTAAATAGAAGATTTAAATGTCAAAAAAGCTTCAAGATAAGTATACATACATATTTTTGTTGTATGATACATGTACTTACATGTATGATAACTCTGCTAATTGGTGTATTAATAAAATTGGGTTTACTTGTACTTTTTCTTACTTATATGCCTCTTTGGGGCACACTGTACCAATTAGTGTGTTATGAAGTACTTTTATTAGTATTTTTAATTACTACTTACTTATCACAGGCACTTGTTTCAGTAATAATTTTTTTAACCCATAGTATAGTAATAACGCAATATTATTATACTATGGGTTAATTTTTTTTTTTTTATCAAATCAAGTGCCTGTGTTAATTATACCTTTGGGGGGGGGGGGGGGGCATATGCCCACCCACAAGATTTTTCCAGGACTCAATCCTGTGCAATCCTTAAATTAAAATCATTAATAAATGAATATACATTTTGGTGGGTTCTGGTGCATCCTTGAAGTCATTTTTCACATATAAAATAAAGAAAGTCTAGCAGTGTTACTTTAAACAAATGAATTATGATCTACTCTGTTTCAAAAATGATATTTTTGAGTGTTTCTTCAGGGGAGGGGGAGGGGGGGGGCTTGTGTCCAACATTCCCCACCATTACCACTTCTCTCTTCCTACGGCCCTCTATTCTACTGTACTGCTACCCTAAGAGGGGATAATAGTCTGCTATTGGGATAGTCAGGTTGAACTGAATTCCAGCAACACAAAGTAAAACAAAGATAAATATTTGATGTGAAATTTTATTTACAAGGAATAAATGAGAAACATGTACTTCCTGTTGTACTCAAAATAATGGGAAAAATGTTATTTATATGATTAATGAAAATTTGAAGGAGCTTAAAAAATTTTGTTAAAAATTACTTAGAAGATATGGATTTTAGAGAAATCCGTTGAATTTAGATCGGGTTCGAAATTCTTAATGTTCTCAATATGGCGCCTAAGTAAATGCAAAGATTTGGAGAGAACCAAAAAAAAAAAAAAGGTAAGTTATTAGGAATTCATTGCTCTCATAATTTGTACCGAAGTCAATATGGAGTGGTCAGAAACGGGAAGATGGGCTAAGTTGCAAGAACAGTGGACGTAAGAACTCACACAGCAGGGGTGTGCAATTACAAAAATTAGTTACTAGCCCGTCGGGCTAGTGGCAGTAACAAAGTTACTAGCCCGAGGTTGCCAGTCACTAGCCCATTAACTACCGAAAACAATATGTATAAGTTTAACAAAAAGGTTAAAAAAAAAACATTTAAGTTGAAATAAATAAAACAAATAATGGTTTGCGCTTTTTTCTCCCTATTTTTATCGACTATGATAATCAGGGACCTATATACTAGGTCCCTGCTATAATTATTATGTCACTGAAACGACTGGCGATAGCAACACACAAAACATATAGGTTAAAACGAATTAAAGATTATGATTTTACAACAAGGTTAATTC